GCTTTTGCATGCATATGAGGTGACTGAAAATACCATGGCTTGGTTCAGGCACATCTTAGTCCTCAAAGTGGCATCTTTGCTTTTTAACACTTTAAAGAGGTCTTTTGCAGCAGATCTGCCCAATGCAGTAAGTTTTTTGATTTCTTGATGGTTGCTTCCACAGCCATTGATTGTGGATCCAAGTAAAATGAAATCCTTGACAACTTCAATATTTACAATAGCTTCTTCATTTATCATGATGTTGCTTATTGGTCATCTGTAAGTGCTTCAAGTCCTCTTCACTTTCAGCAAGCAAGGTTGTGTAATTTGCCTATCGCAGTTGTTAATGAGTCTTCCTCCAGTCTTGCTGCTGTGGTCTTCTTCATATTATCCAGCTTCTCAGGCTATTTCTTCAGCGTACAGACTGAGTAGGTATGGTGAAAGGGTACAACCCTGATGCACACATTTCCTGATTTTAAACCACGCAATATCCTCTTGTTCTGTTCGAACGACTGCCTCTTGGTCTATGTACAGGTTCCACATGAGCATAATTAATTATTCTGGAATTCGAATCCTTCACAATGTTGTCTATAATTTGTTATGGATCCACACAGTCTAATGCCTTTGGGTAATCAATAAAACACAGGTAAACATACTTCTGGTATTCTCTGCTTTCAGCCAAGATTCAGAAGGAATTAACCAGTGACAAAAGAAAATAAGTGATCCAAGATACATGTTTGAAGTACAAAAAAGAATGGCATGCAAATAAAATTGTACCTATGTGAGAAAAAAACACTTTAAAAAATTCAATATTGAGCCATGATAAAAACTTTTGGCAAACTAGAGCTAGGTCCCTCTTCCAAAGACAACACTTTGAGAGAACCACTGGCTTACTGAGAGACAGAAAAAGGTTTAAAAAGTAGCAACAACAACAACTAGAGGTAAGAAAGTAACAATGGAATAGGAGTCAAGTTAAGGTAAACTTTTTTTTCTTGTGGTTTAAGTGAAAGTTTAAATTCAAGTTAGTTTCTCATACAAAAATTTATACACACATTGTTATGTGATCCTAGTTGCTCTCCCTATACTGTGACAGCACACTCCTCCATTCCACACTGGATTTCCCATGTCCATTCAACCAGCTCCTGACCCTCTCTGCCTTCTCGTCTCACCTCTGGACAGAAGCCACCCATTTAGTCTCATGTATCTACTTGAGCTAAGAAGCACACTCTTTACGAGTATCATTTTCTGTCCCATAGTCCAGTCTAACCTTTGTCTGAAGAGGTGGCCTCGCAAATGGTTCTAGTTTTGGGCTAACAGAGAGTCCAGCAGCCATGTCTTCCGGGGTTCCTCCAGCCTCAGTTAGACCATTAAGACTGGTCTTTTTACTAGAATTTGAGGTCTGCACCCTACTTTTCTCCTGCTCCGTCAGAGACTCTCTGTTGTGTTCCCTGTCAGGGCAGTCATTGGTGGTAGCCAGGCAAAATCTAGTTCTGGTCTCAGGCTGATGGAGTCTCTGGTTTATGGGCCCTTTCTGTCTCCTGGGCTAATATCTTCCTTTTGTCTTTGGCGTTCTTCATTCTCCTTTGCTCCAGGTGGGTTAAGACCAACTGATGCATCTTAGATGGCCACTCACTAGCTTTTAAGACGCCAGACACCACTCACCAAAGAGGAATACAGAACACTTTCTTAATAAACTTTGTTATACCAATTGACCCAGATGTCCCCTGAAACCATGGTCCTCAGACCCCCACCCCTGCTACTCTGTCCCTCAAAGTGTTTGGCTGTGTTCAGGAAACTTCTTAGCTTTTGGTTTAGTCCAGTTGTGCTGACTTCCCCTGTAGTGTGCGTTGTCCTTCCCTTCACCTAAGATAATTCTTGTCTACTACCTAGTTAGTGAATACCCCTCTCCCTCCCTTCCCACCCTTGTAACCATCAAAGAATGTTTTCTTCTGTGTTTAAACCTTTTCTTGAGTTCTTACAACACAAATACATTATTTGTCCTTTTGTGACTGACTAATTTCACTCAGCATAATGCCTTCCAGATTCATTCATGTTGTGAGATGTTTCACGGATTTATCGTTGTTCTTTATCACTGTGTAGTATTCTATTGTGTGAATATACCATAATTTGTTTATCCATTCGTCCACTGACAGACACCTAGGTTGTTTCCATCTTTTTGCTATCGTGTATAGTGCTGCAATGAACATGGGTGTGCATATATCTATTTGTGTGACGGCTCTTATTTCTCTAGGATATATTCCAAGGAGTGGGATTGCTGGATCGTATGGTATTTCTAGCTTTTTATGGAAGTGCCAAATTGATTTCCAAAGTTGTTGTACCATTTCACATTCCCACCAACAGTGTATAAGTGTTCCAGTCCCTCCACAACCTCTCCAACATTTATTATTTTGTGTTTTTTTGGATTAATGCTAGCCTCCTTGGGGTGAGATGGTATCTCATTGTAATTTTGATTTTCGTTTCTCTAATGGCTAATGACCGTGAGCATTTCCTCATGTGTCTGGTAGCTGCTTGAACGTCTTCTTTGGTGAAGTTCCTCTTCATATCCTTTGCCCATTTTTTAATTGGGTTATTTCTCTTTTTGTTGTTGAGGTTTTGCAGTATCTTGTAGATTTTAGAGATCAGACCCTGATAGGATTTGTCACAGGCAAAAATTTTTTCCCAGTCTGTAGGTTGTCTTTTTACTTTTTTGGTGAAGTCTTTTGATGAGCATAAGTTTTTGATTTTTAGGAGCTCCCAGTTATCTAGCTTCTCTTCTGGTATTTGTGCACCGTTACTTATGGCTTGTATTCTGTTTATGCCATGTATTAGGGCTCCTAGCGTTGTCTCTATTTTTTCTTCCATGATCTTTATCATTTTAGATTTTATATTTAGGTCTTTGATCCATTTTGAGTTAGTTTTTGTGCATGGTGTGAGGTCTTGTTTCATTTTTTTGCAGATGGATATCTGGTTATGCCAGTACCATTTGTTAAAGAGACTGTCTTTTCCCCAGTAAATGGACTTTGGGCCTTCATCAAGTATCAGCTGCTCACAGGTGGATAAATTTAAGTCTGGATTCTCAATTCTGTTCCATTGGTCTATGTATCTGTTGTTGTACCAGTACCAGGCTGTTCTGACTAAGTTAAGGTAAATTTTCAAGGACAAGTAAAACTTTAACAAAACAATTTCTGAAAGTTATTAAAAATATTACTGGAAAATGTTTACACATAACTTTATCATCATAAAAAATAAATCAGAGAATAGACTACAATACAGAAATAAATTCTCTACAGTGAACCCAGTGATTTAGCAAAGGTTCCTTAAAAAACAAACAAACAAATTAAAAAAAAAAAAACCCATAGCTCTGGAATCGATTGTGACTCATAGCGACATTTTAGGATAGAGTAGAACTGCCCCATAGAGATTCCAAGGTTGTAATCTTTACAGGAGGAGATCCCTAGGTCTATCTCTCACAGAGTGGCTGATGGGTTCTAAATCACAGACCTTTTGGTTGGCATCTGAGCACTTTAACCACTGCACCACCAGGGCTCCTAAAAGTTCCTTACATAAGCTAAATCTACCTAAGACAGCTGTCAATGCAGAGAATACATCTGTTTATGAGGTAAATTCTAAAGCACTTCTCCAAGCAAAGCTTTACCCTTCATAACAAAATAGAAGCAGATAACGAGGTAGACTAAAAAAAGACTATATCTGGTTTTTCACATTTTTGGTAGTATTAAAGCTTGAATACTGCTTTTAATATCTTAGACAATTTTTCAGAAGTGTAACACGCAAGACAGTCCTAAAAAAAAAGCAAGGCTAAAAAACCATACCTTAAAAAAAAAAAAAACAAAGCTGTTCAGAACATCATAACCATTAACTCGATACTTACATCCTTTTGTGTTACTTCACCATGGCTTTTTCCACATTTCCACTTCAGTTTTCTAGAGCCAGCTGGATCAGCCCATGTATAAAATACTGCTTTTCCAGGAGGGAGGAAGTCTTCCATTTTACTGAGAGAACTGACATAGGTAGTAAAAATATGCATTAAATTAAATGTAGGTACAGGAATATATAAAAATTCCAAAATAATACTTCATTAATTCTTAGTCCATTAATTGAGATTTGCTCGACTAAGATTAGAGTGAAATTTTTTCCTTTATACTAAGAAAGAGGTTTGCTAATAATTAAAATATTTAAGGGAAAATCTTTAAGTCTTTGAAAGTAGTTTGTCAAAATTTTTAATACAATAATGCAAGAAGTGTGTTTCTTATTTTATCTTTTCTATACTAAATGTAAGAGAATTTAATTGGTAGTCCTTTCCTAAGTATTCTTTTTACTGTGACAAAAACAATACAGCTTAATTATTTTCAAAAGTCACGAGACATGGGATGCAAATCTAAGAAACTCAATCAACTCAGAAAAAGATTTCTAGGGAAAAAAAATTAGGGCAATTAAAACCCGAAGAAATGATAAAATATAGCTCTCTTGAGCTGAAGAAGGAACTGAGATTGCAGATTAAGAGCTCACTGAGTATCAGGCAAAATTAAATGAAAACGGAATCCTATCCTAGACTTATCTTTGTAGAAGGTTTAAATTTTAAGAAAATAGAAATAAAAAGTTACATAGGAAAATCGTATTTAGCCAGAAAGAAAAATGAGGGAAAAGGTTATGACTTAAAAAGTTTTATGTCAAGTTGTCATTAATATGCAAGAACCAAAAACCCACTACCATCGAATTGATTCTGACTCATAGAGACCCTATAGTACAAAGCAGAACTGTCCCATAGGGTTTCCAAGGCTGCAAATCTTTACGGAAGCAAACTGCCACATCTTCCTTTCATGGAGCAGCTGGTGGATTTGAACCATCGACTTTTCGGTTAACAGCCTAGTGCTTTAACGACTGTGCCACAAGGGTTCACTTAATTTGCAAGCGTAAGGCATTTTTGAATAAGCAATGGCATAACATTAACCACAAATCCTTACTTAAAAAGTTACCCAAGACTTTTCCCCAACCGTGTCAAAAATAAAATTTTAAGTATTGGGATACAGAAATATTAAAGGCTTGTTGGTTAAGCAACAGAACCAGTTAAATAAAGTCACTTGTTAATATGTTACAAGTCAACCTAAATGCCAAAAAGTTTTAAATAATGAATATTATGAAAAACTAAAAATTTTATATTAATCTCGGTCAAAAATCCCAAATTATAGTCACAAGAAACTAGAAATTTGGAAAGAGAGGTTGAAGAAAATGTAAAACCACTCTAAATTCTTCATGACTAAATTAGAAACTGTTTCATTCTCGAAACTGATTAAAAATGGATTAAAATCTTCAATAACGAAAAAGTAACTGTCCAGAACAGAAACAGGTATCTGGCATGGTATCTGGCAAGGAATCATAAATTTGTTATTAAATAATTACAAATGTGTTAAAAGACCCCTGTTAAAAGACAAGCAGATTATAACATAAAATTGGAAACAAATGAAATTCTCAACAATAAAGAAACGTTTAATTTATAGTGCATCTAAATGATAGAATATCTTGTAATGATTAAAAAACTGTTTTTGAGGAGGGGAAGCCAAGATGGCGGAGTAGTCAGACACTTTCGGTGGTCCCTCTTACAACAAAGAGCTTAAAAAACAAGTGAACTGATTCTATGACAATCGAGGAGCCCTGAACATCAAAGGCAAAGTTGAGGAACTGGACTGAGTGGCAGGGAGAGGGAGAGACAGATCGGAAGCGAGGAGTTGCCAGACCTGGCCTGGCGGGAGCCGGAGCGCTTCAGGCCGGATCAGCTTGTAGTGTATGATGAGGCAAGCAGCGGCACTCAGGAGATGTTTTCAACATCGGGAGAGACCCAGCTGCAGACAGTCTACTCAGCCATCAGGAACCAGTAAGAAGCAGTGCTCGATCGGCAAAAGATTAAGTACTTGTGTCTGGCCTACTGTATAGAGTAAAAACACCCCCCTTTGGGAAAAACCTCTCTCCCATTTACTCAGCCCATTTCCTGCTCTGCACTGGGTCTGGAATGGCTTCAGCAATTGCCAAGTCCCCTGGGCCAGAAGTAGGACCCATCACATGCCCTGAGCCATTCTCCTGGCCTTGGAGAGTGAACAAATTAACAAACGGGGAAAAAATAATCTACCACCTCCCCTAAGCCAGGAAGTCAGGGTATGCACACCTCCTTTGCCTAGGCACAGGCATAAGGGGTCCATGGACTTTGAGTGTCTTTCCCCCTACAGAGACTTGTGTGGGCCCATTTCAACAGCACAGACCCTCATTACCACGGTACAACAGGGTATATACCTTAAGTCTAACTTCAACTGTTTCAGCAATGAACTGGCAGGTTTGTGATATTTGCCGCTGCTCTGCCCATTAAGCTGGGTCTTCACCTACCCACAGCAGGGGCCTGAGGACTGATGGCTCCACCCATGCCACCTAGCCATCTGTGACAAGGGCCCAAGAATAAGTGGTGCCCTCCAGACCTTACAGACAACAGCACTGGGTGCTCATAGTCCAGCTGCAAAACCCACCCACCTACGCGCTCTAGGGAAGAGGGACACGCTTTCCTCCCAGACACTCAGGGGTGGCCGTAGGCCCCCTGCCTTGCTCAGTGTGTGTCCCCTGCTGCAGGCAGACAGCTGTGCCTACATCAATCACCCACGCCTGTCTAGGACTGTAGGTGAGAACCTGCATCACACACTTGGTGGCTGACTACCTGGACACCCGAGCTGAATCCATACAGGAGGAGTGGGCAGCCTCTGGGGCTCACATACTTAGTGGCAGCTCTGGCCACATGGTGGCAGTATGTTGGAGCTTCAGGGGCGCCGGTGATCGGGCTAGCTCACACGAGCAGCCTATCTGGGCATATCAAAACAAAACAAAACAAGAAGCTAGGACACCGTAAGAAAACATAAAATAAATAAATTATAACCTACTGATGGCTCAGAGACAACAATCAATATCAAATCACATAAAGAGGCAGACCATGATGGCTTCAGCAAGCTCTCAAAATAAAGATTCAAGAAATTTTCCAGAGGAAGAGGATTTCCTGGAATTCCCAGAGGTAGAATACAAAAGACTAATTCACAGAATATTTCAAGAGATTAGGAGGGAGATTATGCAAAAGGCAGACCAAGCAATACAGGAACTTAAGAAGATTAGAGAAGAGCATAACGACAAATTTAACAGGCTGCAAGAATTGAGAGACAGCAATCAGAAATCCTGAAGATTAACAATAAAATGTCAGAATTAGACAACTCAGTAAGAAGTCATAGGAGCAGAAGTGAGGCAATGGAAGGCAGAATTAGTGAGATGGAAGATACAGCACTTGACACCAACTTATTTGAGGAAAAATCAGATAAAAGGGTTTAAAAAATGAAAAAACCCTAAGAAATATGTTGGACTCTATCAAGATGAATAACCTATGAGTAACTGGAGTACCAGAACAGGCGGGGATAACAGGAAATACATAGAGAATTGTTGAAGATTTGCTGGCAAAAAACCTCCCTGATATTATGAAAGATGAGAAGATACCTATCGAAGATGCTCACCAAACCCGACATAAGGACTTGCAGCAAAATGGCGCTCTAGGCAGAAGTACCACACCGTCCCTCCACAGCAACGATCTGAAAAACTAAGCCGAACAGAGAAAACAATCCTGAAACCCTAAATCATCAAATGAAGAGTTAAAGAACTCAGCCAAGCACCAAATGGAGTGAGAAAACTGACAGACAAGAGAGAGCAAGGAGAGACTCATGCAGAGGTGCCCTATCAGCTAACACAGTGAGGATCCACCATCTTGGACTCCTATCGGAGACCAGCAAACGGGGTATGAGAAAGCAACTTGAAGGAGCTTCCAGCAGGAGACAAAACAACTGGTAATTTGCAATATACGCTTTCCCACCCCCCCCCACCCTTCTTCACCCCCACTCGGCCTCCTATGCTTCCTGTGGCCACAATCTCTTCTCTGGGAAGCACTGGCTGCTTGGATTCCACAAACCCAAACGGAACAGCTCTCTGACTGCCATTTGTTGGCTGCTGGTGTTGCTTTTTTCCAGTTCTTTTGATTTCTTCCTTACCTCTCACCACCTCCCACTCCTTTCGCTCAAATACCTGGCTCTGTGCACCATCTTTGCTTCTTCCTGAGGGGCTGCGGAGCTCCAGTAATTTGTTATATACGCTTTCCCACTCCCTACCCTTCTTCACCCACACTCGGCCTCCTCTGCTTCCCGCAGACATGGTCTCTTGTCTGGGAAGCACTGGTTGCTTGGATTCCACCAGCCCGCACTAGCTGGCTCTCTGAGTGCCATTTGTTGGCTGCTGGTGTGGCTTTTTTTCCGCTTCTTTCGATTTCTTCCTTACCTCTCACCAACTCCCCCGCTTTCGCTCAAACACCTGGCTCCATGCGCCATCTTTGCTTCTTCCTGAGGGGCTGCGAAGCTCCAGCTGAGTGTGAAGCTGCTTCCTGGTCTGGGCTGCCGCGCTGGTAGGATCCCAGGGCTTTTGTTCATTTGTTTGTTTTGAATTGTTTGTTTTCTTTTCCTTTTCTTGAGCTGGGAGCCCGTTCTGGCCAGGCGGTGCTGCATGGCTTGGAACGTACCCCCTCGGCTTGCACAGACATGCATAGGGATCCCTGAGCACGTTTCTTTTTTTGTTGTTTTTTTTTTTTTCCTGTTTTCTGGGGGGCTTTTCTTCTATTTTTTTTTTTAAATTTGTTTTGTTTTCTTTTCCCTCTTTTTCCCTTTTTGTCTTTCTTCATTACTCAGTTTCTCGTCTCTCTATATCTTCCTTCTCTTTCTGTTCCCTGAATACCTGGCGTTGTATATCTCTACGCCTTCCAGCCAGGCTGTACTGCAACACCTGAGAACAACCTCCCTAGACATCATAGCCGCACTGGTGGGATCCCTGGGAACTTTGCTGTTCTTTTCCCTTTCCAATTTTTATTTACTCATTCTTTTCTTTCCCTTTCTTTTTTCCTTCTTCTTCCCGTTTTTGTATTTCTCCATTTCATAGTCTCTCA